GGAAAAAGTTGCTGCATATCATAAAAATGCTGTTTCCAAGTAGTAGAACCGGGGATATATTTGTTCTTAATATAAAATGGGCATATACCAAAAACGGTGTACATTTACTGTCAGCACTCTGTTGCTCTGTTTCAATGCACCATTGTCAAAACAATAAAGAGTTGGGTAAAAATCGTATTCTGAACTGATACATACCTCATACAGTTCTCTTAATTTCATTCGTTATTTTGTGGGCATTTGAAAGGTGCCTGTTACCTTAAGAGCTTAGTACACCTTCATCATCTAGGGCTTCAATAGAAATGCTAAACTAGGTTAGATATTAAACTACCCACTTTACCTGCACAAGTCCAGCTCTTTACATAAAACTGTTGACTATTAGTTCCTATGCATCTACGATATGTTTTCCTAGTACCTACTTATTTTAGAGTGGTTTTAGACATTAGAAATGGCTGACACATTGCACCTTGCTAATACCTGAATTCTGGCTTTTTTCCCCCTGTTTTTTTCTTTTTTTGAACATTCTAGCCTGGTTCTTCAGTTTTTAAGGATAAGTGTCAGAATTGTCTCTGCACTAAGCAAGTGGATAACAGCACTGAACTAAATGTCATCTCATGTACCCTTCGCCCATGTAACACAAACTGTGATCCAGTAAGAGATTTTTTTGTGTAAATATTGATATTTTTCTGAAAAATGCAGTCATAATTGAGAGAGGTGTGATCTAAGCAAGGGTCTGGGAGCTAGGAATTCATAGAGCTTCTCTTTTAGCTCTAACAGTGATTTACCTGGCGATTAGATTTCTGTCTCTCTAAAAAAAAAAAGGCAGGGGGGAGGATACAGATGCTTGATATATGTTGCTTAAAGCTTTATAATCATATTGTGACAATTACTTAGTAAATACCTATACAGTGCTTTGGAGATAAACAGATACTCAAAGACTAAACATATCAATTATAATAGCTGTGTTTATATGTTACTTTCATTTATACTTTGCTTTTTTAAATCTTTTTTACATTTACCTGATGATTTTCCATTGCAGAAACCAACTGCTCTAAATAATCTTTAAAATTATAATCTGTTCTGCCATTTGGCTGGCTTCCCTGAGACAATCCTTTAATATGGTGATGGTATTATTAGTTTGTTTTATTTAATAAAAAAAGCTTTTAATGTGTTTTTCTTTTAAAGGGCTATGAACTTGGTAAGCCTGCAAAAGGTGAGTGCTGTGGAAAGTGTATCCAGACAAAATGTGTCATGCAGACATCACATGGCAATGAACTCATCTTGAGTGTAAGTGTACTCTGATGTAAATGGTGTACTAGATGTGTAACAATCCTTGTCTTCCTAAAAGTATGTGTTCAGAGGAAAGACATAGCAATTAGTGAGGAGAGATAAAGGTCATGAAGTTTCAGAGGCTGATTGGATTCAGTTATCCAAATTTCTCTTGCCTGGAGAACTCAGGAACTCAGGCTTTCTTAGAAGAATCTTTTGGGTATGACAAGTCAGAAATATTATGAGAAGAACCATTCCAGGCTGTTTCTTTCCTGTCCAGGAAGAGGATAATACTGGTAAAAGCTTAAATATGAATGATTTTTTTTTGAGGGGGGAGAGGTTTTTTTTGGGTTCTTCTTATTTGATGTATGCTTATTGGTCCTTTTGTAATCAAAATCTCAGTCATTTTTCATTGACTCCAGAGTTTCCTTGCTCCCAAACAAGGACAGAGAGAGAGAGAGAGAGGATAGCTAGCCAGGTTCAAAAAGGGACTGGATAAATTCATGGATGATAGATCTATTAATGGATATTGAACATAATGGTTAGAGATGTTTCCTCTGGCATCTCTAAACCTATAGTGGTAGATGCTGGGGAGGGTAATGAATAGGGGATAGATCATTCTAGAGATATTTGGTTCAATGCTCTCCCTCTACAGCATCCATTTCTGCCACTGTTGGAGACAAAGATAGTGGACTACAGTATATGGATCATAGGTCTGATCCAGTATGGCGTGTGTGTGTGTCTGTGTGTGTGTGTGTGTGTGTGTGTGTATTAGGGCTATCCAAAGCTTCAGTCCCTGATTCAATTCAGCGGAGATTTGGCCTGATTCAGTGACTGAATCTCTGAATCCAAATCGAATCAGGAGACCCTTTAATCGCTCTGAATTGAATCGCGATTTGGAAAGATTCAATGATTCAGATATAGACACAGTTCTAAATGTTTTTTCTGCATACCTCAAGGTACCAGGTGGCTCATGAATGCTGCGATGTTGGGGCGGATGGAGTGTCCCACAGGAGCATGGGGGGCTCTCCAGCATGCTCGGCAGCAGACCCAGAACTGGACCAGAAACACTTCTAGTCCACTTCTGGGTCCACCGGGGAGCATGCCAGGACCCCCTCCCCATGCCGCACTGGCTTGGCGACTGGTGCCTCCTGGGTCTTGGGGGGGCACCCAGGGTCACCCCGTGGATGATCACTGAGCCGGGAGGGTGGGGAGGGCCCATGTGCTCAGCGGCAGACCCAGAAGTACTTCCAGGTTCACCGCTGAGCACATGCCCCTCCCTCCTCCCCCCTCCCCCCATGCTCCTGTGGGATGCTCTATCTACCTCAGCTTTGCAGCATTCACGAGCTGTGCCTGGTACCTTGAGGTATGTAGAAAAAACATTTAAAGCTGTGTCTATGACCAAATCACTGATTCTCCAAATCAGCATCGGATCTTCAGATTCAGATTTGGCCAAATCAAATCAGGGACAGTGATCTGAATCAATGAATCGAATCACTGTCCCTGATTCAGGCTGAATCCGAATCCAAATCCAAATTGAATATGGCCCATTTCACACACCCCTAATG